CCAATAGCCCCAGAGCTGTTAGTGCTAGAACCATATATTTTTAATTATTATCTTACATGAAACATCGTTTTTGAAGATAAGGTAATTTGAAACATTAACACCAAACTTAAGAAATAATAGAGTATGATTACATGATTTAATTACATAATTTCACTAACACCTACGACTTAGTCCACGTGGAATTAGTACTATGACGTGGAATTAGTACTTATGTTTAATAGGTATTCTGCAGTATTATTATTCCTGCATAATGCATTATAGTAGCAGTAGAGCTCCTTATTCTATATCTATGGTCTCCCCGGAACTCCTTATCTCTCGGGGTGGGCCGCATCATCAGCCCCATAATCTTTCTACATTAGTTTTGATTATAGGTATTGGCCCTCCCTACCGACCCTTTGGGTAACGAGAAGGGCACTATAACCTATGCATGCACAGGAACCTTCTAAGTTCAGGTTCTGAAGCCAGATCAGCCAGTGTACAGGGTTGTCACTGACTTCGTCCGGTTCTCACGAGCCTAGTGCTCGATCGTGTGAGCCGACCCAGGTGCACGTACAGTACCTTCCCTATTTTCCAGGTAGGTACCGGAGCTGTTGGCACGCTCCCAAATTCTTACGCAGCTGGAGGAATCGGAGGATGTCTAGCTCATCCTCTACTAGCTCTCCGGGCTCGTGACAGAGATGCTGGTAGCAGTGACCTGCGACAATATCCGGACATAACTAACGACTTACAGGGCAACTCACGTGCCCCGTGCGTCGCCCTTAGGTCCTCGTCTTGACCGCTACTAAACTAAGACGCGATTACGCCACCGGAGCAGACGAACATGTCCGTCTCTGCAGCTCACTTGAAACCCCGGCGAGTCTATACCGAAGTTCGGGTCCACCAGACGCGCACGTAAAGGTGTAGGTATCTTTGGCGGAGGGCTTGGCCCGGATGCCCGCCGTACCTGGTCTTAACGGGGAGCCTCTATAGTAACCCTCCCTAACGACCCTTGGGGTATACGAGAAGGGCACTATAACCTGTGCATGCACAAGAACTTTCCAAGTTCAGGTTCTGACCCCAGACCAGCCAGTGCACAGGGTTGTCACAGACCATTGTCACTGACTTCATCCGGTTCTCAAGATGCCTCACGTACAGTACCCTCCCTATTTTCCAGACAGGACTTGCAATGATCAGTGCGGTTTCAAGAAAATCTTACTTGGAATCCAGGTAGGCACGGGCCTCGGCTCTGGACGCCACTGACGCCACAAGTCCGCCGGCGGACGGCGAGAAACTACGAGCAGCATGATGGTGAGCTCGGGACAGTACTAGAGTACACAATTCTGTGTTGTGATTTCGTTGGTCTGTAACATGGCGAAAGTGATGGGGTCTTCAGGATCGCTGAGAACTTCCCTGGATCGATTTGTCCTGATGTGACCCAAGACTTTAAACGTCTTTGAGAACGAGCAAGCTATAGACAAAGTGATCGCCGCCCGTTGGCTTCACACAAAACACCAAAAAGGTGGTAACGCGTTGACTTTGCTGACAGTACGTACCTAATAGGTACCTACATAAATAAACATCAGTTATTTAAATTAAGCCGCAGTCAACTTGTACCAATTTCATGAATACCAACACCTAATTTGTACATAAGTTTGTTAAGATTATTTAGACATCATTTAACACAATAATTTTAATTAATTTGATAAAAAAGAAATTGAAAATCACGTAAAACATTTTCGATTAATTTCAAAGTATTTGATTATATATTTTCAATTTGAAGACACGTATTGTTTTACACATTCGGCAAGATGAGAACGTATATTCGATTAATCATTTTTATCACAGTATGTGTTTTAGTAATGGCACAAGAACAACAATTCCTTCTTGAGGTAACATTATTGTATTATTGTTTGTATACTATGATTGTGATTTTGTATACTATGATGGCGAGTGATGTAGTATAAACTACATTACTAGCCATCTAGCGGAATTTGAAATAACGATAATTTCAGCCTCTCACATCAGAATGGTAACAAATCGTAACTTGTTAGCCTGTATTCTGTCCTCGGAAAAAAGAAAGGCACAAGCTGCAAATTTAAAATTCTTAGATAAATTAGTAAAAAAATCTAAGTTTTTCTGAGAAAAACGAATAGTTCAAAATAAACATTTTTATTTTATGTTGAACATGCATGAAACATATACAGAAACTATTCATTATATTTAAATTATAATTAAAAAAAAATGTCATCTTAGAAAAAATATTAAAAATGTTATTAAGAGCATATAACGAGCTTAATTAACTAACATAACTTTTAATACTTGAATTGTAATCAATGATTGGAACAAGGTGTTCCACATACATACATATTACACGTTACAGTTACATGTATACATATTGTTAAAACTACCAAATTTTAATTAATTACTTTTTTCGAATTCCGGTTTCCGGAAATGGTTTACTACATCCTAGGACAAAAGTACTCATCTAGGTAGCCAAAGTTGGATTTTAAAGTTATCCTAGTGGTGCTTTTTAAAAAAGTATGATATCGATGGTAATGACGAAGATGCTAATAATGCTGATGCAGCTGATGATACTTGTATATAATGCTGATGACGCTGATGCTGATGCTGCTGACGGTGGTTTGATGCTAACGGTACTGATGATGCTAATGATTCTGATGATGCGGGTGGTGTTGATAATGTGGATGATGGTGATGGTGCATATGATCCTGATTCTGATGGTACCGACGATGCTGATGATAATTATGCTAAAGGTGCAGATGATGCTAGTGGTGCTGATGATTTTGATGGTGTGGAGATGCTGATGGTACCGATGATTCTGACGGTTTTGATGACGCTGATTACGACTGGTTGTTAGGCAAGACATCGATATTGTCATCAGTACCATCAGAATCATCGGCATCGTTCGCCCTATCTGTATCACCAGCATCATTAGTACTTTTAGCATAATCATCATCAGCACCATCCTATCATACGCATCATCAGCACCATTAGAATTATCTGCACAATCAGAATCATTAGCACCATCAGCACTATACATGAGCATCACCAGCTACATCAGTATTACTAGCATCTTCGTCATTATCATCATTTTCGTAGCAGTAGAGCTCCTTGTGAAAGAGTACGTCTAAGAAAGTACTGCCATCATACTTATTTCTTCCGCCAAACAGGTTTATTGTAACGAAAAGTCAGTTATCTACTGCATTTTTTTACACGGCATCACTAGAATTACTTTAAAATCCAACATTGACTTCCTAGACGCGTAGTTTTGTACTACGATGCAGTAAAACCATTTCCGGAATTAGAAATAGTAATTAATTCAAATTTGGTGGTTTTAACAACTCTATGTTACTCCTGGAAGCTATATTAATGTATCTATGTATGTGGAACACCTTTTTCCGACCATTGTTTATAATAATAGAATAAGGAGACAAATACAGTTGTGCCCTTATTTATTGTAATTTTATTACACAATAATAACCTTATCTTCTATGACATTGAAAATTAACATAATTTTCATTCATTGAGAATTCTCTCTAATAAACTCTTACATCCCCGTTTAACCAGATACAAATACGTGAGGCGCACTATAAGTTTCCGGATTGAATAATAAAAAAATGCTATAAATGGTTAGAAATGAATTTATTGTTTTTATTATGTATTTTCATTAATTGAGAATTCTCTCTAATAAACTCTTATCTCCGGTTAAAGTCCCGTCATCCAGGTACCAATACGTGGGGCGCACTATAAGTTTCCGGAATGAATAAGAAAGAAATACTATAAATGGTCAGAAATGAATTTATTGTTTCTCAAAATATTCTCCGTTAGCGTTAATGCGTTTTTTCATACGAACAACAATCTCTGAAACATATTTTTCATACTTTTCGACAGCCTCTTCAGGTGATGAAAATCGTTGACCGCGTAACTGGTTCTTAAAGCTATTACATTACACTTTAAGTCGTAGAAAATCATGCTACGAAAATTTTCACGAGTTAAATCCATGGTGATGTAGACAACCAATTTCTAAAATGACGCCACAATGTAAAAACAAGTGACAGTCAGATGAAACAAACTGTATTCTACAGCCAAAGAGCTCCATTTTCAAATGTTGTAATTACTTTTTAAATATTGTTTATGTAAGTGGCCAGTTCCGGAAACTTATAGTGCGCCCTATGTAGCATAATGTAGAATTTGGAATTTAATTTTCGTAGAGTAGATTTGTCCATCTTTAGCCAAAGAGACGATCGGGCCAATTTACCTACTTTTCAGGCGACTGTTGAATGTAGAAGATTGCTAAAGATAGGGGAAGGGTGCCTTATTTTTTAGTAAAATAACTTGAATATTATATGTTATAGTGCTTTAAATCATACTCAAGTCCTGACGTGAGCATTGAGTAGAGTTCTGGAATACGACCCTTATTGTTTTAAATTTTCTTAGTGTTCGGTCTTTGTACTAATAACTATATTAATTTTGTTTTTATTTTAATCACGCTGTGGTCTCCTTTCCTTACTAATGGTGTAGGGCAATACAGAGTGCTTTTTTATAGGTCGTTTAAAATAAGCCCTGAAGACAAAAATACCTTGCTTCAAGCAAGCAGAATAAATAAATAGAAATTGTTACAACTTTTTGTTACAGAATGATTCGGAAGAATCGGTTCCATTGGCTGAGAGATCGAAAAGAGTAAGTTGAGTAAATGGATAATTTTAAGGTAAGTTTTTTGTACTCAATTTTGGTGACAATTTCTTTTTATTTAAATATTTATGGAATATCATCATGAAGTATTATTTAATATTCGAGTGTGGTAACCTGAAATAATCTTTAATATTTCACAATGATACATTCGAGTAATTAAATAATAAACATTGTCACCAAAATTGAGTACAAAAAACTTACTTTAAAATTACTGAAATATCACTAGTGGGATTTAGATATAATCCCGAACCTAAATACTACAACGGATTGTCAACTTCGAATCTAGCACTCTAGATAACTATAAATAATATAAACAATATCATCATATACGTTGCTCTGATCCCAAAGTAAGTAAGTAAAGCACTTGTGTTATGGAAATCAGACATAACGACGATACCACAAACACCCAGACTCGAGACAATGTAGAAGTTGTTTTCTACATTAACCCTGCCGGGGGTTGAACCCGGGACATCAGAGACGGCTACACCAAGAAAACCAGTGTGCAAGCCATTCCACCACGGCCGTCGTAACTACAAAATGACTGGCACTCCTGTCAGGGCTCCGTCACTAGCTCGAGGTTACTCGATAAGTGCCCACCGCTGAGTCTATCGCCTACAGTGCAAGCGCTCAAACAAGTCTTTCATTTACATTACAATCCTTGTACAACCCCAGCATTCATTTATTCAGTCATTAATCAGATTTGGTAGGCTGTTATAGCGTAGCCTTTTTTCGATTTTGTATGAGAGTTTTGTATCTGTTCCGTAATAAATATTGAGTAATCTGTGCTCCTGGGGTCCATTGTCGATTGAACCAATTGCAATCACTATAGCTTGGGCTTCCAAGAGACCTTTTCTATCGTAGATAAATAAAAAATACCTGCTTGTAGTTTCTCATAGTAAAGTGCAGATAAATTAATTACTTCTATATATAAAAGCCGTGGTAGCCTAATGGTTTGACCTACTGCCTCTCAAGCATAAGGTCGTGGGTTCGAATCCAGCCTCTCACACCTCTGAGTTTCTCGGAATTTATGTGCGAAATTTAGAAATTTATCATGAGCTTTTCGGTGAAGGAAAACATCGTGATGAAACCTGTACGTCGAAGAAGGTTCACAACCCTCGGAATACGTGTGAAGTCCCCAACCCGCATTGGGCCAGCGTGGCGGACTATGGCCTAAACCCTCGTCTGAAAGGAGATCTGTGCCCAACAGTGGGACATATAAATGGGTTGATGATGATGATATATAAACTAGAATGAATTAATGAATACTTATTCTTTGTTGGATTGCAGTGTGCAGCTCCTGGAAAGGTAAGCTAGAGAAAAAAGGAAGAATACAGTGTTTTACTACTACAAACTACTTTATTAATTTTTTAATGTAACATACCACTATTGACTTTTTTTGGGCAGTAGAGAATAACTTGTTCATTCTTTCGATTTATATCTTGTATATTTAAACGCTTTGTGAACTACACATATCTAACCATAGCATTTGTATGTTAATTGGGTAACGTACATACAAACTAGAGGGTCTACTCTCGATCTCCGAAACAATTACTGCCAAATGAACAATACTTGACCAAATGAAAAGACGCGTGATGCGAATGAAGCTTCTTACTTGATACTTGTCTTTTAATTTTGTCGAATAGTACTTATTTGACAGTAATTGTTTCGGACGGATGTCGGACGGAGATCGAGAGTAGACCCCTAGATACGCGACACAAAACAAGTCGCGCGTCTTTCGACTAATTCTCGCGTGGTCTCGGAATTGGCGCAGGTATCGTATCGTATTTAACTTGTACGTTACAGGATTGATATATTTTAATATTATGCTACTAACTGGTGTCCGCAACTTCGTCCGCGAATTTTATCGGTTCTCAATACAAATTTTCATTCCGTACCTTTCCGATTAATTTTTGTTACAAAAGACACATCGGCTCATCTCACACTGGGGCGCAGAGTCGAAGCGTCGACGTGCGGTTCCATATTTGTATAACACAAATTTGTACCTTAATTATGGGAAAATAGAGATGCATATACTATAGGCGAAAAATTTGTCTAGTCGCGACGCTTCGATTCTGCACCAGTCTGAGTTGAGCCTTAAGAAATCCCGTATCGCGGGTGCCATGAACACACATAGACCACCACAAATTACACCCAAACTCACGAGAGAAATACCTGAATGTAGGCCGTACAACTATTCCTCCCGGCCCGGTAATCGAATCCGGGACCTCTGCGTGACAGTCAGTAAAAAAAATTTTTATGAGCACCGTCATGTTAGGTTTGTGAAGGAATTTCTGACTGTTTCTGTGATGTCGATTTTTTTTTTCAGGGCAAAGGCAAAACTAAGGTCTGCTTGGTGGGATCATCCAACACATACTGCCTTGAGCAGACCGTAAGAATTTAATTTTAATAAATGAATTTATAATGAGACTTTCGAGATTGTTACACATAGAAAACTGGAAGAAATGAAACTGGTTTTTCAATTTAAATAAAGAACCCTAAACGTTGGTTTAGGGCTCAAACAAACCAACAGTTAGGGCCCTTTATAGGTTTAAGGCCTTTACGCGGTTATAATCCGAAAAAACAGTTTCACTTCCTAAATTAATTTAATCTTTTTCTTCATCCGCCTTCGTGCATAATTCTGCTCTATATTTTCAACGACTTCTGCCATTGTTAATTGAAAGGGCGCTTGTAATTTGTTACAAGATTACGGCAGTATACATAACTTTTTTTTTTAATGTCACACCCTTTCAACTAACAGCGGCAGTCTTTTTATTTTGAGCACGTTTCTCATAGTGTGTCTGTCTACTTGTCTGTTGATACTCGAGTGCCTACTGATATACATTTTAAATTGAATATTTTTAAATATTAACATTATTGTTTATATTAATCATCATATTATTCTTTGAATTCTTTTGATAATACGAAATAATAGTAGCCATTTTGAAAGTTCCATGTTTTTAAATGGCGTATTTAAATATATTCAACTATAATAATTGTGTAGTGCAATTTTCGACCGTTAGGCTCAATTTCCATTGCGGCGGAACGGAATGGAGGCGATTTTTTATAACTATATTGTACATAGCATAATGAACTTTATGGTCAATTGTGCAACTTCCGTGGAATGCGCGAGCATTCTCGAGAATTCCGTTATCGTTCCGCCGCAATAGAAATTGAGCCTTAATCGGAAACTAATCATTACAAATTGTTTTACTTAACATTTTGTATTAATGTTTTTTTTTGTGAAAATGCTCCACAAACTTGTTATTATTATTGATACAGAGATGGAACAAATACGAAGAAAAATTCCTCCGATCCGACTGGACGCGAACCAGCGTGTTGCCTCACCGTGGTAATTCGTAAAGTCTGGTGGCTCGGTTGGTAAATGGATGAGGTAACAGACGCTGGCCCAGTCGATCGAAAGAATTATTGTTTGTTCGATATTTGAATCAATAACAACTTTGTTTTTATTAATTTATAAAATTTTTAAAATACACATTTATTAAAATTTTACACCGTTACTTACGCTGGCTCGACGCCAAAAGCGAGAAGTTTTTGTTTTTCTAAACATTTGTAATACGTGTTTTGTTATTTTCAGGGGTTGGCCTGAATACAGGTGAAAAAAAATCTAAGAGTTTATTCCATGAAATAAAGTGTGTATTCGTTTCAAATCTGCCTGTTCATTGTCCTTCCCCTTTTCAAATGGTAACATAAGTCACTCAGCCGCTAAATTTGTAGTGCATGAGCTCCGAGACTAAGGGTCGTATTCCAGAACTCTACTCAATGCTCAAGTCAGGATATGAGTATGGTTTAAAGCACTCGAAATCATACCCAAGTCTCTGCCATTAGGGTCGTTTTTCCAGTGCTTGTGTTTCAATTGCAATCCTGACTTGAGCATTGAGTAGAGTTCTAGAATACGACCCTGAGAGTCGTATTCTAGAACTCTACTCAATGCTCAAGTCAGGATTTGAGTATGGTTTAAAGCAATCGAAATCACACTCAAGTCCCTGCCATTAGGGTTGTATTTCCAGTGCAATCCTGACTTGAGCATTGAGTAGAGTTCTAGAATACGACCCTAACACAGGCAAAAACCAAGGTTATGCCTTGTACCAGTATCTTTTAAACAAAGGGGCGACTAATTCTAAAATTTCGCGACTAGTACCGACTAATTCATGACTTTTCTGAGTGGAATCAGATCTAAGTTAGGAGCTGTAGTTCTCGAGATTCAAAAACGGTGGCTGTGTTAATGTGGTGATGTCCAATTCTCAATAACAACTTTGATTATTTCTCTAGTACATAATTTAGCGGCCCAGATGTTTTCAATAATATTTGGCTGTTGTAGTCAGTTTTGTGAAAAATTTTAGTCTAATTTCATGGTAATAATACAGGTATAAATTAGTCGAATCTTATTTATTTAAAATATAGTTGTGACGTCTACATCACTTTGTAAAGTTTACACAATTCAAATAAAGTACATTATGCTATGTACAATTTCGTTACAATAACCCGCTTCCATTCTGTCGTAATGTAAAATGAGTACTAAAAGATTTGGTTAAATAAATAAATAATAAATAAATAAAATGTCGGTATGCTCCTACCGGTAGTAGGTCATTAGTAGGAGCACCAGGATGTTCTCCTACTAATGTACCGTCACCTATATTTATATAAATGCATTGAAATGTAACTATAATGTCGCTCAATATTAGCAATAACGTCTGGACCGCTTAAAAAAGGATCAGGTTTTTTAAAGAAAAGAAATTGCATTTTTGTATATACATTTATTTTTTTTTCCACATTTTATATCTTTTTTCCAGATATATATTTTAATATATAATAATCAATTCGCTATTGATATATACAACTTACAAATCGAAAAATCCTTAACTGAATCTACATTTTGAGTCTTAACGCCTAGGTGGAATCATTTCGAATATATCTAAACGAAAAAAGACGATGTGCACACACACGCTTGCACTAAACGTCTTGCACCACTGTTTTAGTCAAAAGCATGCAGCGGGATTTCTGGGACATTTTTCCCAATTGGCAAAATGGCCCATTAACGGACTCTACGAAAATTTCTGAAGGCGTAACAAAAATTACAATAATATAATATAGGTAGCGCTGACAAGCTACTTGTTAGACCCCGAAAAAGTGACGCTAGCCGTCAGCTATAAACGTCAACGTTCCAGTTGTCAATTCACGAAACTGGTTTTTTGAAATTCCGCAACATGGGGAGGGTCCAAACGTAACTCATCGGTTCGTGCAGTTTTTGGGACTTCTGAGAATTAAAGTCCCAAAAGTACCGCCCCGGGACGATTTCGACGGAAACAGTGGAACTAGACGTACTAAAACATTGATAGAAGTAGAAGAAAATCATTTTGCATTTGTTTGAATAAGAATATGAATGCAAAAACGATTTTATTATGTTAGCACTCTTTGTCAGATGTGGTTAACATTTTTTTGAGTTTATCTCAAAACCCCAAAATATTCAAGAGATAGGAAGACACGTGGCAGATGCTACTGGGATATTTTTTTCATACAAAATTGCTTCGGGGGTATGATCAACACTGCGCTCATTGTTTAAAAAACTGTCATAATACAGAAAAAGTAGTTTTGAAAAAAAAAAAAAGAATAATTTTACATTCGTGAGGCTGCTGTGACTTCATAACTTACTCGTAATGGTTTTCGTACTCATATGGTTTTGTTTATTGTGAAAGATTTTGAGAAGTATTGACTATATTATTCAATCTTCAATCAATCAGACTTCTGTGTTATGACAGTTTTTTTAGAGAATGAGCGATTGTATGAAAATATTATTACCATTTAATAAAAAAAAATCAGTACCGCCTTCGATCTACTGAGTTTAAGGAGTCATCATCACACACATAATCGCATAAAGTGTGGCGACTCCTTACCTGTCGTAAAGTCAATACCTGTCGCATATATCCTCACATACGACAAACCAAATCATATTTGATGTATAAAAATAAATATTTTAATATTTTGGGCAAAAATGCCCGTTGGAGTAATCGCTTATAATATCACAGTCAAAGTCCAGTCGATCTTACGATTGTTGTACTTGTCGGTACATTTACGATTGAAGATTGCCTTTGGAGTACGTCTGCGTTGGCGATTATGGAAGACAGGAATGACGCCCGCGGCGGTTATCGGGGCACGTATACGGGGTTTTAAAGAATCATTTCATAGTACCAATATGAGTTTAATTATACGGTTCTTCAAAGCGAATAAGCCTGCGCAATCTACATAGCCACAAGTCTTAAAAAAGTACGTGAAATGACATGAGATCACTTTACACGTAATATCGAACAACTTACAAGATAATAGAATAGCGGATGGAAAGCTGCGTGAGGTGTATCTATGACATTGAAATCGCATTTTTATTTCTTTCCATACCAGGAAAATAAAACTACTTTTCAGGATCTATTTGGTTTTTCAAACAAACCAACGTTAAATGTCTGTTAGACGAAACAAATTAAATGAAAATGTTCAAATGTAACGTTGGTTTGTTTGAAAAAACAAATATACACGATTTAGATCTGAAAAAAATTGTTTATTTTCCTATGTAACAACAATCGCGAAAACTTAAGACCTAGACATCTTTGCATACAAATTATCAGCTTTCGAATCGGAAGCGTCAAAGAGATCTTTATTACAACGCCCTTCAATTTTGTAGTAAGTTGTAATCAGTAACTGCCTAGCTTTGCTAGAGCATATACCCACCTTCCGCCCTAATAAATAAATTCAAACGTGCTTATTTAACACCTTTGAATGTGCGCTATTTAAAGGGATACCGACCATTATTTTTACCGCGTTGACTGTTGTGTACAACCCCGTGCTGAACGTTCACACGATATTTAAATAATAGCTTCGTGTGTTTGTTCTAAAAAATGAAATGTTCGTCAATTATTGTTATGTTGTTAGAGTTGTCGATCTGCTATGTAGGAAATATTCTAGCCTAACTACGATTACTCCACCTTACGTGTAAATTGTTTGTTAAAAAATATTTCTAGACAACAAGTTAATTTTCAAACAGGTTTTCTGTCCTCAGTATTTCAAAGTTCTATTACTCTGGTACTTGTAGCAGACATTTGTTTTGTAAAAGAAAAATACCTTTCGATATGTAGATATTTTTACTCTGTTCAAATTGTTTTGACGCTGACTGTCCAACGCATTTTCTAGTTCGAGACCAGATAGTTTTAAATTTAAAAAAAAATTGACTTTTTATTGAAAACTAAAATTTATAAATTCAACAAGAACCGCCCAACGTCACGTTTGACTAGCTCCTGACTGTACGTTGTTATGTCTCCCTCGTGAGAAATGTTAATAAAAGGTAAACCTAAGTTACCTTACTTTTTAACGCAAAAATGTTGACCACACCTGACAAACACAAAAAGCCTAGCAGGAACGAAAACTTAAGTTCTGAATTCTTCTACTTTGTACTATTCAACCGTTTGCAAAAATAACTTTTGACACAATATTTTATTATCTATTGTACATTTAGGTGGGAATATGCAGTCAATAAATAAAATCTTTTTTTATTAAAGAGTTGAGCTCCAGGCAGTACCTCTGTACTGAAAATCCTAATACCTACTCTTGTAAAAGCCTACTTCCAAAATTTATCGGCTAATACAAATAAGTTTTATTATTTCGGTTATAATCGTATCAGGTGCACAGACATACAAACTTTCCTTTCATTAATTGGTGCTGATAACTGGTGATTAGTGTGATGTGACCCTAAGATATCGCCGGGAGATTATTCTGATTATAATTTTGTAATTGCCAGAAAGAAGCGATAAGTCGCTTGCTAAATATCTGTCTGATGTATATGAGATCCAAATAATTATTTACCATAACTTCACGTAACATGCTAAAAAGTAATGGATTTTTTACTCGTGAAATAGAGAAATCTTCCAGACCATTCCAACCATTCAGTAATTTTTGTTTGAATAAGGTACTCTGCCGTCAACTCTGTTGGCGGTACAACCTCATGCAATATGAAAAGCATGCGTTAACGAGTCGTTACACTGGTTGTCCCTAGCTTTGTTAAGTGCGCGTGTATTTCGTAGGCACCGATACACCTCAATTTGGCCGAGGTACTAAATGCCTGCGCACGATAAATGCGACAAGAACAGCCAAAAGAATTAACGGTGGGGTGACAGAAAGAAAGTTACCAAAGGTAAAATCATAGCTCAAACCAAACAAGTTATTGTTGCAAACGGTATTGTGACATCCCTACAAAAAAGAGCCAAACTTACGTGACACCGTATTGACACTCGATGTCCGCGATGGTACCTGCAAATAACATTTACAATAATGGATCTACATCTGAATATGTTGGCACTGTAAAAATTCTGTATTAAAATTCGTCCAGGGAAAATATCAACTTTTTTCTTCAAGACCTTTAGGGTTGTGTCGCATTAATCAAGGCAATATTCACTGTATGTGCAGGTCGCGATTGCGATCACACCGACTCGCAACGAGTTATTTGAAACGTGTAGAACCAAAATGGTTCAGTGCATCGTTCCCGCAAACGGTGACTAGCGGTCGCGAGACATCATCATCGCAGTGTTTATCGTAGATTATCAATAAATATTCCTATTATTATGAAGTCATCAATTAGAATTATAATAATGGACCCAGGTAGTTTAATAGATGCAGTTCGATATCAATTCTTCGAAAATTCACGAGGCTATCGGTTAGTCGTCGGTGTAGCGTCTCGTCGCCCGCATATTGCACTGTATTTCGTTGCGAATCGGAGGTAACGCCGGCACGCTGCACAAGCCCATACACTGAAGCCATCACAGGCTTTGACAGGCCAAACCGCTTTGAGTCAATTTGGTGGACTTCTTGTTTTCCAACTTTATTCAAAATGTCCGTGATCAGTGTGAATCAACCCTAGACAAAACTTAAATAATGACTGAGGTAGGTCATATCAAACTGTCAAAATTTAGAAATAATGATATAAGGAATTAATTAGTATTTTGATGTTATTACGTCTAGAATTCTTGTTTTGATGTAAAAAGATAATTATAGTTTCAGAATATACTAGCGTACGTAATGATACCTCACAGTATCATAATCAGAAAATTCTTATTACAGTGCACTGTACTGTACTGTAGTCAGTAAAATTATAACCTAATTTTTTTTTTTTGCTTTTTGTCGAATATGTATAAAATTTTAATTAATCTACATTCATTGAAACTTACGTCCACGATGTTGTAGTCACCAGCGAAATCTAAAAATACCGATATAAATAAACATGATATTTTTTTTTCTAATAATTATGAATTTGATATTGCTTATCATTAAATCATTAATTACATTGACTTCATGGCGAGATTCGTCACTGAGAAACCGTTTTAGGTTGTCCTACATGTCAGCTGTATGAAGTATGCTTATGTATTGAGTGCTAATACCTGTAAACTTTGGGCCTTATTAATAAATTCATCTGAAGTGCAACGGGTCTACTTCCATTCTTTGTCCAAAGCAATAACTGTCAAATAAGTAATACACGACCAAATGAAAGTACAATCTTCATTCTTCATTTTGAAGCTTCATTCGCATCATGCGTCTCTCCATTTGGTCGAATGTTACTTATTTGACAGTAATTGTTTTAGATGGAGAATGTTAGTAGACCCCCAGGATCATATTAAGGCAAGTCTTTACTAATTAATATTAGTGGTACAACGAATAGTGTATTCGGCCCCGAATACCGAATATTCGGCCTGAGTCCGATGTGATTACACAGCGAAACGAGGACAAATACATAATCTCGATATTGAAAGTAAAGCCTAACTGTAGATATTTCAGAATTTTTATGTTATTTCATTGCGTAAACGTAAAATGGAACAACGGTCGATCTGATATCTACAGCATAGAACAACGATAAAAATGTACAGTGTTCTGAGAATAAGCAGTCTTGCACAAAGGTCTTTGTTCTACGGATGAGTCGACTTGTTATAGCAAATACAATGAAAAAAAGAAGGTACTTTAATTATTGGTGGAGACCCGCGCCCAGCAGGCCCAGCGGTGGGACGAAGACAATAATGTACTGTGTTTTTTCCTTCCTGTTGTATTCGGTATTCCACCAAATAGTGATCACTAAGTAGGTAAGGACAAAAAAGATAGACCGAATAAACCGAATATTCGTTGCAACTACATATTAATATATCATTTAAGTGCATATCAACAATTTCTCATAGATTACACCTTAATAATAAATATCATAGATCACTTAAATTACGACTCTAGAAAGTTATTATAGTTATTAATCAGTAAAGTGTAGAGTCTTGACAACTTACAAGTATGAAACATTTTGAGATCTGAGTATTGTCTATGCAGAAGAAGTTGATAGACACTTAATACTTAAGACCTGCTTATTAATATAGGCCTAGAATAAAGAATGACTTACTTGTTAATATGGCAATGGCGTATTTCAATTTTAACTGACATAACCGTGACAATTTATCTCTTTTTTTTAAATTTATTTGGTCACCCTCTGAGCACAATGGTAAATGTTTATTGCACACATGCATGTGCATAGGATATTAATTATAACCCTTTATCAGCTTTTTCGTATATCACACATTTTAGTCTCCTCACAACAATCCAATGGTCGCAATATTATCTAGCTTTAAACTGCCTTATAGGTCTTATTTTTGTTAATGATGCTATAAAACAAAACTGACAAGTGAACTGATAATAAATGAAGAAATCCCTCGGTAAGTAAAAAACACACAAATGCAATACATCCCTTTAGCATGGTGAAAACACTGTTGCAAAAGAAACTCGTGCAATCGCTAAAGACAGCTGATGTTTTTCGATTTTTGAATTATAGCAAATGATAAGCCAAAAACAGCACAGAAGTATTATAGACACACAATATCAAAAACATAATGGCCAACTCACCCAATAAACTTAAAAATCCATACCCTCATATCATATCAGCAATGGGCACAATTGCAGTCGGTAAACACCAAACAGAATAAAAAATTGCACCACTATACATCAACTACCTGCTGATATTTGATTTCGTCACTTATCACTTTTAACGTATTTACTTAAGCTTCCGTTGAAGTCACTTTTGTTCACTTATAAACTAAGCGTTCCAACGCTTACACCCGTTTCACTTTTGGCTTGGTGCTTCCGTAGATAAAGCGTTGCCTCCATTCTTCGTACTGCTACGTGCACGCTATGCTATTTGAAGTTGACGGCGTATGCTCAGAGTTGATTGGTTTCTCAGTCACGGTTTTGTTCTGTTCGTTTCCTGTGTGGTTCTGTGATCCATTCTGGATGTTCACTTCGAACACGTTTGATGAGTTTGAGTCTTCATTGCAGGACAGCACGCTTACTTCGTCCGTCTGTAAATAAAATAAAAGTTAATTACATTATTAAATTAATTGCTGTCCAATGTTTTTTAATTAAGTACATATGAACATCTAAATTGTGGAAGCGGTAAAGTTTTCGCGATTTAATTGGCCTCCATAGTAAATTTTATGGATAGAATCAATCCCTATTGTCGAAATAGATGTCACTCTGTAAACAAAGCCTGATAAGTTTACAGGGACCGCTGCTTTTATTGTAGTTCCGAAATGTGTAACCAATTTCTAAACTATTGTGCATCCGTTTATGCGTGTGCTTGTCTGTGTGCATTAGCTCATTATATGACTTGGGCACTACCCAAGTCATGATAATTCTTTTCTTTTTTTTATATGACTTTGATACTGCTATCATTCAATCATTGACGTCATGGCGAGATACGTCATTGTAAAACCTTTTTAGGTTGGTCTACAAGTCAGCCGTATGAAGTATGCTTATGTATTGAATGGTAATACCAGTAAACTTTGGGCCCTATTAATAAATCCAACTGAAGTGGAGGGGGTTCTACCAGAGAACAAAAAGTAACGAGAACGGATACTCTCCGCCTCTCCCTACCTTTAGATACCGCACCACGCCCCGCACATTGACGATCACATTGACTGAACGGCAATAAGGCTGTCGGCGAGCCGTTTACGCGCTAAGACGGCTTTGATTATTTGTATATAGTTTTCATTTATTCATTACGAAACATATACGTTAATATATAACATCATTTTACGTTATTATTTATAATGGTTGTGAATGGTGCTGTATACAGCTGTTTATCATCATCTAAACGAGCTAAAGAGAAGCATAAGCTAAAGCATGTTTTTTCGTTTTCCGAAAGATGAAAAAAAAGGTTGTCTGGGACTCATTCAGTTGTTTTCTTCATTTATTTAGTGCAGAGTAATACATAATACAGATTTATTATATCAATATAATGAGACGCCGTAACTTTGTAGACTAGTAGACAAGGGTTCTCGAATTTTCAATTTGTACTGCCGATAAATATTACGTAGTGATATACCCTAAAAAAATTATAAACTTGGATAAGCAATTTCAAATACCTTGGATCCTTATTTAAAAGTACCTGTCCAAAATATAACATTTTAAGGGCTTTTAAAATATTTTTTAAATAAATCTTCAATGATATTCTAGTTAGTAAATTAATAAAAAATATAATATTATATCGATATAAATACCTAATTAGCATGTGTAAATATTAAGACTCTATTAATAGAATTTTAGATAACAAATTCGCGTTAGAATTTTCACTATGTTGCCGCTGTGACCACACACACATTTGCGCGTGTGCAGTAAGCGCCTTGCTGTATGTAGTAGTAGTAGGTAACTAACTTTTGACCGATGTATGGAGTGCCCGGGGTGTGGTTCTACTCTCAAATAAGTAACATTCGCCGAAATTAAAAAACAATGTCAAGTATGAAGCTTCATTCGCATCATTCGTCTTCTAATTTTGTCGAGTATTACTTATTTGACAGTACTTGCTTCGGACGGATGTTGGATGGAGAACGGGAGTACCCCCAGGACCCCGATTCAGAACTGTTCGACATTTTTACCAAATCGTTCGATTGGGTATCGTTCTCCAATCGAAAGGAACATTCCAGTTAAACTTTCGATTCGGATTCGGATACGATATCGTTATCCAACAGTTTAGTTTACGGAGTTACTCGGTGAAATAGATAGATCTAAATTTTTAAGACTAATGGCCTAAACTATAGGAATGCATTAGTCTAGTCCAGACTTTATTTAAAATAATAAGAGATTTCCACATTCTTGCATTGTCAACAATACGACGTTCGGTAACTTTCATTCGTTAACTGTGTTCTGAATGACGTTCGTAGCCTTTGCCGGTAGAGAAGCTTCAGTAATCGTATGGGTGCGACGTCATTTCGGTTGGGTTTGTTGTTGTGAATAAAAATGAAAAGAAATCGTACATTATCATATCGAATCGGTCAACAACTGCGTTATCGTATGGTTCTGAATCGACTCATAGGTTCAATACTTGTCGTATCGAGTAGGTATATATATTATATATAATATTCTATATATATATATATATATAGGTATATAATATTCTCTGGTCTGGCCTGTGCCTTCCCAGTATGGAACCTCGTGCGCCTAGCTAAGGGCAGCAATGGTTACGAAGATGCGGAAGAGTTTCATTCACCCTGTGGCAGAATCTACTTTCTATTTTCTCTCTGTTCAATATTTGGTACGTGTTTGTTCAAGCTACAATGCCCTATTAAGGCTCTAGTCAGCATACTGATGCCATTTCTGTCTAGTGACAGAACTGCTTTACCATGGTTAGCACTGTAGGGCTTTTGAATGCTCAATTGTGTGTCGTAGGATATTTGTCCATTATCAAATGATCAGAAGAAAGATTTCTTGGGTTTAGATGTTCATTGCGTTTAGTTGTTAAAGAAGCTAATTAATAATAATGTATCAGACAACCACACCAACTGCTATTATGAGTACCAGAGCAACTGAAATCATTCTGGAGCACTTTCCAGGACACCCACTAGAACAAATTTAGTTCGTTTCCCCAAATCAGTTCAACCGGTAATCGAACCCGGGACTTCGTCATCCAGTGTGCACAAATCAACGCCGACAAAGCTATTTATGTTACAGAAAATGTAGTGAATACACCTGCCGAAAATTCAACTGATTGTTGTCTCTGATTGGAAACATTTTCAAGCGCCGAAATTATGAGGTTGATTTGTGGAAGGTGCGGCACTAAATCTAAGTTCTACAGTTGTGTGTGTGTAAGTAGGTATGTATGTAGTGATATTTGCACGTGTCACCTTATGTTTACAAGTTTGTTTACATCTCAAGTAAAAGAACAGCAGTTAGTTCAATGTATTTGCTGTTATTTGAATTTTATCAGATTTATAACTCAATAACATTTTTGGAATCGGGGTAAATAAATAAACTTTACATATATGCATATATTTTGGAATTTTAATATTTCATTATGTATATTGTTGACTCCCAACGGTTTCGCCTTCTTGGAGGTATCGTTTCCACATAAAGGTTTAGTATTTGGACTCCTTGTGGAAGCCTTATTCAATGCAAAATTTCTAATTCCATAATGTAACATAGCTTGTTATATATTTCTTGTAATATAAAAAACTAGTCGTATGGTAAAAGTATCAGTTAACATTTTATATGGTAGTCTATAATTATCACAAATACAATAATATATTGTGCACATTTATAATTTTTTTGTTGTACAAATAAGTGTTATACAATAATATCAGTCTATAACTTGTCAATTTTCACCAATTTATTATATATTCTAATAACTTACATTTACAACTTATTTTTTCTTTTTAGCCTTTGAAAGAACTTTCTTGTTATCTTTTTATTTTTTGAAAGAACTTTCTCTTGCCATACTTTCATCCTTTGAAAGAACTTTGTTTTGTTATTTTTTATTCTTTAAAAGAACTTTCTTTGACCATATTTTTATTCTTTGAAAGAACTTTCTTTTTATTTTATATTCTTTGAAAGAACTCTCTTTCTCCATCAGTGCCATCAACATTTTTCACTTTTAAAAATGAACGTCTCCCTGTTCGTCTTCGGATCGGTCTTCCTGGCGGGCGTGGCGGTGTGTAAGAGTTTGTAAACGGCCAGTATGTCGCGGATACTCACGCTGCTCTCGCTCAGGCGCTTGGCCTTCTTGGGCGCGGAGTGCGGGGCGTGCGGGGCGTGCGGGGCGGGCGGCGCGGGCGGCGCGGGCGGCGCCTCGGCCTTGCGCTTGACGCCCGACGACGTGCGCTCGCGCCGCAGCAGTGACGCCGACAGGTACTGGTGCAGCTGCTTGCGCCGCACGTGGCGCGCCTGCGGATTCAAATCACTCTTAGCTCTCTTTCTCATTAGTTAACGATCTACCCGGTGACGCAAAAAAATTAAAAAGAGAAGTTCATTTTAATTTTTTTTTCGTAATTCACTTTCAATCACACGACTTTTTCTATAACCAGATTTTAGTTTTAGCATTAGTCAGTGGGCCACATTTATATTTGGGTATGCTTTTTTATATTGCAGTTCTTTTTTTTGAAGATGGATTAAAATGACAGTTCATTGTGCAAGTGTTGCCCGATGGCAAGCAGCTAGTGATTGCAGTCGATAAATATTATGTCGACTATTGACTCGAGTGTTGGTTACACTTATAAAATAAATAGTCGAACCTGTTTCATTCGATTAATCATCGGTCCGCTATACGCCCAACTGCTGGGCACAGGTTCATTTGAATTGTTCATTTTTTTAAATTCATTCATGCATGCACTAAGTTTCTAAGTATGTGTATTAATAAATTTGATGAAAACAGTACAGAGTACTAAAAAACCGACCTCAAAAATCAATCATCCCTTAGTTTGCCACCCTAAGAGTTCAAATTTGAATGGGACTACAACGGAGGTATTCCCTTTCCAACAAAAAAAGAATCATCAAAATCGGTTCACAAATCCGAGTTATCAGTAATATACATTTAAAAAAAGACGTACAGTCGAATTGAGAACCTCCAACCTTTTTGAAGTCGGTTAGAAATACAAATAAAGACATATTTTAAGATAAAGTTCAAAATTTAACTTTAATTTAATATACGTAACGAAATCTGCCTGTCGTTATTAAAATGTGTATGACTAAAAATTTATTTTGATAACAATAGACCAACTGCCAAAATAAGAATAAATAATACAATGACACAATTAGTAATCATTAGAACGTCGTAACATTCACAGTTCAGAATTTTTTGGCAAAATTTTGCCTTCTTTCACAATCTATCGATAAAACTATCGACAACAACTACAGGACTATTTAAAATTTTATGAAAACTGGCAATCCCGCCAACGTTATTCAATCTTCAAAACAGACAGACTATAGAATTTACACTACACTATGTCTTTCGGCTTCGTGGTTAGCACGCTTGATTCTCCTTGTCAAGTCTAATTTTCGTATAACCGGTCCACTAAGGGATAACCGCACTTATTGACATGGAATTGCATTAAACCTGACAGGCTTCTTTTTATTAAAAAAAGCTTCATTTATGTCGTCATATTTAATTAAAAGGCTTACAGCTTTTTCTGATCGTCTCAAGCCAATTCTGCGATTCCATAACGGCTGTTCCTATTATTGTTAAATTGTAATTACCTCAATAGTCATGCCCTCTCTGAGCATGTTGGTGTTCTCGGCCTGGTAATGCACGGCCTTGGTGAATGAGGAGATGTCGTACGTGAGGTCCACATTCACGTTCGTCTTCTCGAAGACGAGACCGATGAACCACATTGAACACAAATTCGGGATCACTTCGCCCTGAAAATAAATGTTGGAATTAGTATTGAACGCTGTCAAAGCTAAATACAAAAAAAACAATATGAAAAATCCCCAATATAACCTTTCTCACGTAAGTTTTAATTTTTCATAACAATCAATGAATTTTTTTGTATGAATTACTAGTGAAATACTCTTACAAGCCTGGAATATTACGATTTCATGTATTTTAGATATTTGAAGTGATTTTCTAGATTGAAAGATTTTTGTTTGCATCGTATAAACTACTAAAATAAGGAGAATATCTTACTTTTGTCAAATATGTCCATCTCGCTTCTACCAGCAATGGTTATGATACGCGAGAAAGAGAGATCAAATAAATAACGTATAAATTAAATTAGACAGGCTTAAGCTGATTTTAGAGATACCGTGCTTTTGTCACTATCTTTTTAAATATTGTATCTTTTTTATACTTTTTCAATTCGAAATATGTATACTAAGTTAATACTGTTCAAGGGCCAATAAAAAAGTAATGATTTGTTATAATTGTATTATTTGGTTACTAAAACTCAACCAAGATAAATGTGGTTTGGCGGATTCTCCCTCCTTAGACTCGGCAGATTTCATCATTATCATGAACCCATTTATACTCTCAGGCGAGTACTTAGGCGACAGTCCACCACACTGGCCCAATGAGGGTTGGGGACTGCACACGTTTTCCGAGGACTTTGAACCTTCTTCAACGTTTTATAACGATGTTTTCCTTCACCGAAAAGCTCATGACAAATTTCAAATTAAATTTCGCACTAATTTCGAGAAACTCAGAGGTGCGAGTCTAGATTCGAATCCACGAACCTCTGCTTGAGAGGCAGTCGGTCAAACCATTAGGCTACCACGCCTTCATTTTCATTTCTTTAACAGGGTAAAATTTTAAAAGTAGATAACCCAGAATTTATAGGTACTCTGTTGGTGTCCCTTTTCAGTATACGCGAGAAGCTTCTCTATTCTTTTTTTTATTCTCCCTCTACGCAGAAAAAATTGCTGTCAGATGGCTGTCATATGACATTTGGAGCGAAAATCTTTGATTCAAGACAAATAGTAACAAACAAATTGTCTATTATCTTTAACATATTTTCTTTGGAAAAACGATATCGTTTCCTAAATTCATGTTCATCTAACTGGAGCAGTGGATCGTATCATTTCTTGTTCTTTGCATGCCTCCGTCTAAAGTCCCGCAAATCTTAGCAGATTCATCACGCGAAAAAATTTTCCATTTTTTTCACAATACAAGTAAAAATTTTCTGACAATAAAAATCAAAACAAATCTGCTTAACTCTTTGACGTTTTCTAACCTGCTAACAGCTGATTAATGTCAGCTATCTTGTTCGTTAGCGAGCGAAACGAGGTCCCTAGGGTGTTTAAATTGACAGCTATTTAAACAACAAATTAATCAATCATTTAATCACTAATCAATGTTTATAAGTAAGAATTTTTTTAATCATTGTTTAAAGCGTTATTTAAAGTTAAATAGTGTTTACAAGTAAGGCTGTTAGTTCGCTGTTCTTAGCTGTGGATGAAATATAAAATCGACTGTTGATCGATTTTATATTTCCGAAATGAAATAAGATATAAAAATATTGAACACCTATAGATAGGCCTTATTTTGGATAACGACATAATGTATTTATCCTCTTTCCGCTGTATAATCACATCGGACTGTTCTTCGGATGAGTCGACATTTATGAGAAGTATTAATTAATGTGACACAGTCCAGCGGAACGTGTAATACAACATTTTGACATCGGTCATAGAAGCTAAACGCACGGCGATTAGGTGTAATTTTGTACAACAAACATTTTAAAATTCTTATCCGGACGAATGTCTCTTAATAAGTGATGGATTATAAACTTTGTGGGCGATAAATCAGATATCTACGGCCTTTAAAAAGTTTGTTTTTCAGGAACGTCTACGTCCTGCAGTAAACTAAGGTGATGTGGTAGGTAAGTGAAGTGTACGTACATTGTCATTTTTCTTGATTTCTGGTGCCGGATCTGTGTGCACTACGGCATCTGTGAATAAATGGAAGGTGTTAAATTTGTGCCTAGTTGAATTTTTCACAAAGTGGGTCACTGGCATATAAACATTGGTTTCATGTAATGTAATTCTTCCAAACTTCCAATTGCTTTGTCATATCACTAACATACTTTAATATTGGTCAGTTTGCATCCCTTAAAGCCATTCTATATGACACTAAACGTGATTGGTCAGTTCGATTTCCCTGTATCAATGACATGGTAGTGATGAAGTGCAATTCAATTATTGATCATCTTTTTGATTAAAACACGTATTTGTTTACTAATGATCAGTTGCTTGATGAGAAAACCTGCATGTCGAAAAAGGCTCACAAATTCGTCAACCCTATTTGAACCAGCGTGCTGTTGAAATTCTGAATCTAATAAAACAATACAACAATAAAACTGCCATTGAAGGGGGCGGTATAGGGATTGATGAAAGGTGTACCGGGAGGCAGCGCGAGCGGCTGTCCGCCGTTGGCGTGCAGTGGCACGGAATTGTAGCACTCGGGGTTGACGTGCGCCAGCGTGATGTGCTGGTTGCGCTCCAGGGTGGCTGCAATGGCACATAACACATATTACACCTTTTTTAATGAACTTCCGTCAAAATTATTCAGGAAATATTCTTTGAACTTTCCTTCCACGTCTTTTAGTAGCAATAGAGCTCCTTGTGAAAGAGTTCGTCCAGGGAAGTACCTTATCTATTTCTGCCGCCGAGCAGTAATGTGAGCATTATTGCTGGGGAAATTATTAATATGTCTCAGGGAGTCTATGAGCTCTAAGCTATGAGCGACACTGTTATGGACAGGCGCGTCGCTTACCACCAGACAATAAAGACAGCATGGTATTCCGTCTAAATTTTTGACAAGTACAAACAGCACTTTAAATGGCAACACAGAGGCGGAAAGGTACTATTTCCGGGCTTCTTTATGAATAATTTGGCAATAAAAGAAACTATTCAACGTTTAAAACGTCAAACGATCCGTTAGTGGCCTACTATAGTTACTAACGGCACTGCGAAGATTTTTACCACCTCAATTCATATTACAGATCTAGCACGATATTATCGTTCACCGTCTAACATCCGTCCTAAACAATTACTGTCAAATAAGTATTACTAAACCAAGTTATACGAATGAAGCTTCATACTTGACACTGTCATTTAATTTTTTCGAGTGTTACTTATTTGACATATAATTGTTTCGGAAGGTTGTTGGACGGAGAACGCGAGTCATCGAGTATATAACTAGAAATAAAGTACAAAAAAGGGCAATACATTTCTGTTAACTCATCAGTGATACATCACTTATAAATACCAAATCTCGTTTGCACTGAAATATAGACAGCGTCAACAACTGACCTGTGTGTACGTATCCGTATATTCCAAAAATATTCTGTTTATTTATTGTAATAAGGATAATATGTCTAGCAATGGCGTGCTGTTTCATTCGGTGGTGAGGGAAAAAACAGCAAAACATCTAATTATAAAACAAACGGAATCAATTTTCATCGGTTATTAAATACGTAATTTTGCAATTCGTCCATTATAGCAAAGCTCAAATTAAACTGATCGTTTTGAAGTGAAACAATTGACGACACCCGTCAATTGTTTCGAATTCGGGCTGGCCAATCGGAGCGCAGTTGTCACAGTAATGATATTGTAGAATAGTTTTCAAACAAATTAAATGACATTTCGTCTCTATTTCTGGTTACATACTCGATGCCGCGAATATACCCCCAGTTGTTAGAAATGAATCTACGATATAAATCAACTTTGTACAATACAATATACTCACTGATGAGATGGCGGATACGGCTCTCGATGAGGCCGCACCATTGCAGCTGGTCGTCTGCCGAGCCAGAGGAAGCCAGCAGCACGATGAAGTGTTTGTATCGTGAGAAGAAGTTCGGTGCCTCGAACAAGCGTTCCCAGCCGCATTTGCTTAACATTATTTCATCTGTTATTGCGAGACCTGGAATCAAATAATATTATCAAGAGTTTTCTTATGATACCAAGTGGCGGGACGAACTGGTGAGCAGCGACACGCCTATTCACGACAGTTGCAGTTCTACTCAGAGCTTTTAATTGCAAAGACCTTTGGGGCATGACTTGACAAGTCCCATGTGATGTGGCAGAACTTGTCTGGGCGAACTCTTTCACAAGGACCTCTACTGCTGCTTAGTTTCTTATTTATCAGTCAGTTGCAGTGTATGACGTTACGACAGTAAACACGTAGCTCAGTTGGAATTGCGATAGCCCCGGTTTGGTGAAAAAGTAGCTGGTACAAGTCCTTCTGGACGGATGTACGGAATTTTCTTCATGTTTATTCGGTCTTCGATTATTAATGCTAATAATATCGCACCCCTAATGAAAGAATGGCATAAGTTTCTCCATTAGATACCATGTGGGTTTCACTGCCTCCGTGGCAGAACGGTTACCATGCCGGACTGCACGCAGAGGTCCCAGGTTCGATTCCCGGGCCGGGAGAAACATTTGTATGGCCTACATTTATTTCTCTCGTGAGTTGAGGTTGTCTATGAGTGTCCATGGCACCCGCGACACAGGATTTCTCGAGTGCGGGGCTATGTTGAGTATGTGCGTTATTATTATTCTTATATTTTTCTGTCTCTAATGGAGCAATAAACGTTTTTGACGTATCTCTAAAAAAATGAACTGACCAAGTCTAAATTCCTCCATGATGACGCTGCGAGTAGAGGCAGACACGTTGAAGGTGGAGTTCTGTTGAGGGTACGCCGGAGTGATGATTGGCATCAGGTGGAACCGGTCGGCGACGTTCACCTATCAACAAAATAGGACTGTTTAATTATTTCGTATTTTATATAATTAATGGACGAGTATTAGGTTCTTTTCACATTGCGCCGTACCGACGTCGTGTGTAACGGGCTTTAAATACAGATACAGCAAATATAGAAAGGAATAGTGAAAAAATTTTCAAGAAAAAAAATGTTATTTTAATATATGTACATATACATTTAATGAAAATAATTCTGTTTCCGTTCATAACTATTTTCTTCTTCTCTGCTCTTTCACTAATTTTTGTGAATTTTTCGATTTTGTTGGATAAGGCTCAATTTATATTGCGGCGGAATGGAATGGAACCAAATTTTTGTAAGATATTGTACATAGCATAATGAACTTCATGATCAATTGTGTGTGTGTGTGTGTGTGTGTGTATCAAAATCTTCCGCGGAATGCTCACGAATACGGAAGCATGTAAAATATCGCTACAAAAAGTCGCCTCCATTCTTTTCCGCCGCAATATAAATTGAGCCTAAAAGTTTATATATTTAAGTAGACTCATGTTTCGTGAATACTCTTGTACACAGACGCCATGACAATTTTTAATAGACCTCCTTCTTGGAAATGACATTTTTTTTCGGGTTTAAAATGTTATTTTCAAACAAAGCAATGTTTTCGGCTGTTTACAAGTCCCATGGTCACGGTTGTCGATAGTACAGTTTCGATTCTGTAACTATCGCGAAAACCTAAAAACGCGAAACATTACACTTACTCTAGGATCCCAAACGGGAAATCCCAAATTAACGGAGTCCGGTTGCTTGAGCAGCACGGGCTGCGGCCACTTCCACTGGCTGAAGACGAGGAAGAACTTGTGCACCAAAGTGGCTGGCAGTGCGTTGGGGTACAGCTGGCAGGTGCGGGCCACTAGCATGGCCCAGGACACGCCACCGAGGTAGCCCAGCGTGTTGGAGTAGATACCGTGACCTGGAGGAAACATTTACACATTTAATTTAACAAGATAGGCGCCAGTGTTTTCTTGGTAACTGCGATTACCAACGTGACGAATTTTTTGAAATGGTCCACTATTCTTTTTTTTAGTTTTTTTTAGTTTGTTATTCCATATTAAAATCCACATATTCCATACCAAGGTGATTAGAGTTGGTAAATTTCTTTAAAAAAATTATCATTCATCGTGGAATGGTGAAATATCCTTTTTAAATAGCACAAAACAGAGCACAAAATTTCATTTTAAAAACAACTAAAATTAGTAGATGTGTTCGACTTATCGGGCGTTTTAGTTAGCGGACGGAAGATATGTCCCACTGCTACACACAGTTCCTCTAAGAAGAGTTTGAAAAAGTATAATGATCAGAAAGATGTCGCCAAAGTTTGAGCTGAGTTTCAAGTCACAATTGTCTTAAGTTCAGCTGGCGTGCAGTCTTCATAATTGAGTTATATGGTAATACTAACGTTTGGCCCAAAGCTTGATGGCCCGAAGAGTGAGGCGGAAGTTATTGATGTTTGGCACGAGGCGCAGTATCTCGTCGGTGACGCGGCAGCCGTTCAGGGACCGCACCGACTTTTGGTCTAGGTTCTTGAGTAGAATGTCATCGCGAAGGTCGAAGGAATCTGAGGATATTAAAGGACAATTAGTCCACCATTCAAATACTAGGGGGTCTTCAAACTAACGTTAGGTTAACTAATAAACCCAAATGAGTATTGTGCCTCGTTTCAGCTACTATACTACGTCCAACCATTTATTTAACTTTTGATACCAATATGCATGCCTCTGAAGTTCCGTAATTATTGACATACAACCATAGACAAAAAAATGCAATGCTTCCTGGACTCTTTTATTTTTTAATTTTAGTGAAGTAATGTGCTCTTTAGCTCCGATGTTTATCGAGCCAACAGATTATATAACGAAGATTATGCGAGTTGACAATTTTTTTTACCTGTCTAATAAATTATAATGAAATGAAATAAATTATAAATAATTATAACAAACTCTTATTGTTTGTTATAATGAACCGTCGGATTCTTCTCCATATGAACGAGAATCATCACTAGAATTCTCATTAACATTAATTTATTCATTCTTGAGTACAATACAGACAGACAATATCTTTTTTTGAACCCGCTCACGTTCACGATAAAAACATCTCCATAGATAAAATCGATTGTTATAAAAAATCGAATCGGAAACGCACTAGGACATGACTATTGATTAGAATTCGCTGTCAAAATTTAAAAAATGGTTGCACCGATTATAGCATTGACTTACAATTATATGGACGTCGGGTCCGCGCTAAAAAGTGTCTGCTAAAATCGTATACAGAGCGCCAAACTCCGCTTTAGTCTTCATTTGTTCGACTGACAGCGCGATACTGCGATGACATTACAATTTAAATTTAAAAATAGGTTGACTTGGGATATTTTTTTCGTGGTTTTTGTATTAGACCCATCGTCCATTTATTTGTAAGTCAATGGATTATAGAGACAAATTCTCAGGGCAACACATTGAGCAGGAAGAGATTATTTCGTGTAATATAGAATTATATTTGTATAAAAAGACGAACTTACCAGGTATTTCCTTCAATGCAAGTCTGGCGAACAGCAAATCAATCTCTATTCCATCAAAGTTCATCTTGATTACAGGCACAAAGGCGTCTTCCACCGCTCTTAGGTCTTTTACCTGAACAAACATAACAAACCTTCAATTGTAATGTAAGCGCACTTTACACCAAAAACCACCCACCAGTAACGAAGATCATTTATCGTATGCTTGTTGTTCAACGGAATGCGCAAAATCAAGCAAAATAGCCGGCCGGTACATTTTTTTCCAATATGGCGAATCCAAAATGGCTGCCATGGAGCCATCTTTCAAACAAAGAAAATAACAATTTATTGGATTTTTTAATATGGTATATCCAAGATGGTTGTCACACGAAAGAAACTAATTATATCTCCGGATATATATAAATGGAGCTGTTGAAATTACAGGCACATGGGACTTATCAACTTATGTGTCTGGGTGACGGGCGCAAGGCAGTGCCACTCAGATCTTAATGATTTAAAGCTCTGGGTGGCACTGCAACTGTTATGGACAGGCGTGTCGCTTACCACCAGGTCCCTGACTTGTTCGTCCCACCACTTTGTATCATAAAAAAAAATATTTAACAATATTGCATACATCGGGCGTTGTTATATAAAATTCTACGTGAAGGTTTTTTATGTGTATACCACTAAATAATACTATATAATATAATAAGTACAGTTAATAAGAACGAGAATTGGTTAAACAGTTACCTCTGGTTGTTGTTTGAGTAAATCATAAAAGGACTGAAAATAGTCGGCTCTATCAATATGGCGGGGCGCTACGCATAGGGCGTCAATGTCAGCTCCTCGGTGGTGCACCTACGAAAGATAAAATTACTTTAGATATTTTTACATAAAATTTATAGATAGTCAAAAAGTGCATGCTGACGAGCAAACATGGCGGCATAATCTATAAAGGACTAACTACACTCATTAGGGCAGTGCCCGACATGAGGACGGGCCGCATTGACTATATAACCAGAAATAGAAACGAAATGTCATTTAATTTGTTTGAAAACTATTCTGCCATATCATTACTGTGACAACTGCGCTCCGATCGGCCAGCCCGAATTTGAAACAATTGACGGGTGTCGTCAATTGTTTCAGTTCAAATCGACCAGTTAGAAGGAACAGCACGCCATTGTTAGAGATATTATCCTCATTACAATAAATACAGAATGTTTTAGAATATACGTACATACAGGTCAGTTGTTGACGCTGTACTATTTCAGTGCAAACATAATGATTGATTCAACACTTCCACTGTCATGTGGAATCAACCAAAGCCATTTGAGGTCGTGTAGCCTCTTAAGTAACGCAAATTATTTGACAGATGATACACACAGTGACTGTCAGTGTAAAATGTTTTTTCGGTAATGGAGTTTAAGTCGTCTCATTGTCCAACGACCGTGGCCACTTAGCCACCGATGTTTATAAAAGATATTAATTTTGAAACAACTTACCCCAAGCCTGTAAGAACCAAATGTGTATATATTCCCGCCAACAGTTTCAGCAACACTCGGGGGCATATTTTTCCGCGTACTCTCATCGCGTATCCATTGGCGTACGAGTCTATGCAGTGCGCCCAGCACTTCCATGCGATGGTGCATTTCTGCCTCTGATTCAAAAACTCCGTAGGGTATCAGGGACTCTTTAAGCTCATTTGTCTTTTCTATATCGACGGGCTTAGGACCTGTAGACAATAGCAAACAAATAGTAAATACAATGTTCTCAAAAAACGAAGAAAAAAACTGCTAAGTCTAAATGGATTTAAATGGAATGAGTTAGGTTTATTTCTTAACCTTTCATAAGAAGAAAGTTTTCTGACAATTCATTGAAATCAACATTTTTGTGGCCTTTTTTAACGTAAATAAATTTAGTATTACAAGGCCACAGATGTGTTTGTTAGGGATTATAGACAAGATTAATTTTATAATGAAATGAAATTTTGAATTTTTTAATGAGAGAGGTGGGGACTGGTGTCAGGGATTCAGGTTCAAGAACCGGCGAACAATACGTGCCGTAATATTATTATTATTGATATTTGTATCGATCTTTGGATCACTCTCTCGATCCGATTGGACTCGAACCGAGTACCTGTTTGCCAAACCGGAGTTACTGCTTTTACCAAAGCAACTGAGCTCAATAATCATTGTTAAGAATTAAATTTAAAAATTGACAGAGCCACAAGAAAGTATACGAGAGAGAAATATGAAGGTCTGAGTTCGCAATTCCACATACCTGCCATAGAAATGGCCGATGTCATCCCCAGCGTTTTTAAATTTTGCTGGTTCTGATGTTCATTGGTCTTCCCCTGGTTCTGGTTGTTGGTGTGAGAGTACTGCGACGCCTGCCACATCTTGGACGTCTCTTCGTTCTTATGATTAAGTTTAAATAGATAATTTTCTTATATATGGTGGGTTCTAGTCATTAGAAATGCTCTCCCTGTTGGATCGGCTGATGGGGCGTTTGGTAGGAGTGGGGTACCTGAAAGAGAAAGAATTTTTTATGAAAATCATCTTTGATGTTACTGCGTTGGTATGTAAGAGTCCACAAACATCTTCATCATTCATTCATCATCATTTCAGGTCAGGTCATTTGAATCATAAAAGTGTAATAATAATAATGATTTATTTCAGACACGGTCTATGATTGTTAGTAACAAACCATTCCTTAAAAACTAATGTTAATTTTATTTTATTTTAAAAGGCGAGCTACAGGCGCATGCAACGTGCCTGCATTACTCCAGCATGGGACTGTCCCAGCTGTCGTCAATAATGTTCAGGATCCCGTTCGATCATCTGTTTCGCATGATAGCATGGAAGCCATTTATTGGTGCTTCGGTGAACATGCCAGAAGCGCTACAGAAATACGACAACTGCAACAAGATCCTAAAAGCATTATAATATTGTATACGCGGATCGCGTGCCTAAACTGGAGATGGGCAGGACACGTAGCTGAGTGGAACCCGGCAGGAACGAGACGTCCTCGATGCAGACCACAAAGGGGCCTATCGCAACCTCTATGCAATGGAAACAATATTATTTTCGAATTTATTGTCTAAATATTGATTTGTAATGATTTTAAAAGTTAAGTTGAACTTTTTTTTTTATTTTATTTAATAGTACATAGGAAATCATAGCTCGTTAAATAAAAATACGCGATGTTTATATCGTAAAATTATGATAGTGACATTTGTATGTTCCTTGGCGACACTAACAGTTGACACTAGACTATAATTCCGAATTCGCAAGATGACAATCAAGACTCAGCTTGTTTTATTTATTTTCTTCATGAAAATGCGGAAAAAAACAGAAAACAACGTAATTTTAATACATTTTATTATTACATACTTTTCTTTTTTTGGCAGTTAATATTAAGTACTTTAACATTATACTACGATAAGATGATACGGAACATCAAACAGAAAAAGGTGGCATTATACAGTTCATATAGCGTTAATCCTTTCCTATTTTTAGTAAAGAATAGAGAATATTGGGAAATCATTCGTTCTTTCAGTCACTTTAGCAATAATACATTACTTGGTTGATAGGTTTGTCATGGTACGAATATGAGTAATATTATAATAAGGTTACATTGAAATAAGATTGATTTTTGAAAGGTAGGCCCCCTGCTAGATGGTCGGACGATATCACCGGGCTGGCCGAAATATTGTAGACGAGACTCGTACAGGACCGATTGAGCTGGCGTGCAAAAGAGGAGGCCTATATCCAGCAGTGTGGATTAACGGGCTGAGATGATGATGATGAATAACTAGAGCGTTGTAAGCCTCCTGCGAGTATTTGGCCCATAGGCTACAAGTGTAAAAAGATATGGTCATTGTTTATAAAAAATACCACGAGTGGAACCGTTTGCAAAAAAAAAAAATTCTCCAAAAACAGAGGTTCCGGTTCGTTGACTATATGTTAAAGAAGTGTGCGTCGTTTTATGAATACAAAATGTAATTTACATTAAGATTACAATGTATTACGGTAACTAAGCTACAACCTAAAATCCGATGCTTCAGGCTTATTTATTTATTTTATAGATAAGGTTGAAAATACAACAGACGTTGCTCGAAGTTGAATGCTACAATGTTATGTTTAAACGAGACTGAATATATGAGATATATTAACATTGTATCTTTATCGATAATGTATCGGAAAACCACGCTAATTACCTGGTCCGAAATGTGGGCATTTCCCTATACTAAAATACCAGAGCGAACGATGAAATCTACTCCGAGATAGAAAAATCGCAAATATATATTTTTATTGAGGAATATATATAATAAATAGCAATGAATGAATAGGAAGCCTGAACTAGCCCTGTATCCAAGAACTCCTATCGATTGATTTGATGTTGAATTTGTGTAATTGGGAATTGAAACCGGGTACTTTTCATCTAACACCAGCAGTGCTAACCGGTGGGACGCCAAGATCGGGTGTTCATCTAAAGCACAAAGAGAAAGGGTAGACGTGCGCAAAACAGTACCTCGAAAAGTAATGTGATATCACATCACCTTTCCGTAAAAGTAATATTACTCTGTGATATCACTATTACTATTACCCACAACATCACACAGTGTAACACACACAACCAAAAAAAAAAAAAAAAAAAAAACACCGACTAATTGACAACCTCCTCCTTTTTTTGAAGTCGGTTAAAAAAGCGATGCGTTTTAAAACAACCTATAAAACGCATTTCTAGAACATAAACTTGCATTATAAACAAGATCTACTTACATATTACTAGAGAGAATCAAACAAAAATTACGAAATATTACGAACCGTCTGGCAACCCACACTCACCCTGGTTAAATTTTACATTATAAATTGCCACGTAATCAAGCAATGATTAACAAGTTATGCAATTTCATTTTAAATGTCTACTGTTTAATTCGTTTACACCATCTAGTAAGTTGTAAAATAACAAATGCACTCCAAAAATCAGACGTTAATTATAAGTTGTTACATAACCTCACTTTTACTAAATCTCTTATAGCTCTGCTTTCAGTTCAATTCGCAGAATTTTCAGTGATGGTACATCAATACCTACGCAATTAACTGATACCACCTTCATGTTTTTACATCTTGGATTGATTGTATGAAAGCGTATCCATCTCCTTCTAGATTACCAAGAAAGATCGAAATATATTTAACCAAGCACAAGCACTGATTAACAAATTATGCAATTTCATTTTAAATTGTCTACGGTTCCATCCTTTTACACCATTTAGTAAATTATGAAATAATTGGGGTATTAATACAAACATCGTTCTACTGCAATATTCCAAATTAGATGCATTTACATTGCATTTCGCATAATAGTATTAAACAAACATCACTCCGTGATGTTCTAAGCATCACGCGTAATATAAGCATCACGTGTACTGTTTCAGGTAATATCACGCGGGTAATGTTTCGGGTAATGCATCACGCGGGTAATGTGTAATGCTAACATCACACCGTGATGCTAACATTACGCGTGATGCTAACATTACGCGTGATGTCAGCATTACATTGCATCATTGCATCACAGCATTGCATCACGCCGCGTACTGTTTCGCGTAATGGGTGTTAGTAGCGACACCTGGCAGCAGCGCTACGTAACACTACGGCACGGATAGCAATGTCCCATCAAGTAGTAAGTCGAAAATTTGCTAGGTGGCGCTATTAATATCGATATATACCCAAGTTCACCTCGTATGTACCTATAATAAAAAAACGATACATTACGAAATAATTCCTATACGCATCATAATAATTGTTAATTTAACTTGAATGATGGCGAGTGCGTGTGAGACTGAGATACTGTTATATATCTCGGATAATTTTCCGAGAGGTAATGGAGACGGGGCAGTCGGGGCCAAAATTTAATAAGTTGAGGTATGGTTTTAAAAAAAGGGTTGTATATCTAAAAGCCACAAAAATGAGATTTAAGATGATCTCACACAGTGACAAATCCTCCACCAACCACACCATCACCAACTCTTGTTGGCTCCATCGTTTTCGTTCAGTAACTTCAACATACGTACTGTCTTCTCCTTAGTCTGCGCTTCAACTTTTGAGTTTTGTTTTGATACTTGGCGTTGGCAGAAATCAAAGTCAACGTCAAATGTGGGAAAATTAGAGGAAAAATATTGCAAACATTTCCGGAAATCATTTATTTTTCTGAAGAATACATATGATTTTTTTAATGGAAATTTTTCCATGACCCAACACTGAGTGAGATTAACTGAGAACCCCGGAAAGATTTACAATTTACATTCATACTTTATTGTAACAAGAAAACACGTGATTTTTTTTTTTGGTTAGCATGTCTGGTGACAATGACAAGACAAGTAAAGTATTATAATAATTATACTCCCTTTGAGTAAAAACTTAAGTCAAGGATAACAAAGCTAACATATAGCCACTGTTATCGAAGACATGAATACTGCCCTCGAAACGTAAAAAGGCTGCTGTATCAAGTACGCATAACTGTGCTTTTTTTCGTTACAAGGGCAGAATAGATAATAAATAAATAAAGAGTTTGTGTTCCTGACCCAAAAAAATTCTGTGATATATGTTTCTTTTGCGACGTTTATGAGGTAAAGGAGACGGAGCAATCTAGGCCAAAATTGAATAAGTTGAGGTTGTACGGTTTAAAAAAGGGTTATATTTTTCTATTTCAAAACGTAAAAAATAAGCCTAATTCTCAATCTGAAAAATGAGAAATCCTAAGTTAATTGAGATAACAAACAAAATAGAATATCGATTAAATTATGATCGATTAATGTAAATGGATTTAAACAATTAAAAATAGAAAAACGCTACCACCGGATGATAAATTCAAACAAAATAATTATATCCATTAGAGATAATAGATTCAAACAAGTTTTAAACAGTAGTGACAGTAGATACGTTCGTACATACATACATTACATAACAAAAATAAAATCTTAAAATCGATTCTCATTTACTAATCGATTCAGTAAAGTAGACTTGTTTCATCGGTACAGACAGTACTTATTTTTATTGTAGTCAGTCTGTGCTGGCTGATAGTGACATGGACATGACAATGACATTTGACAATTTTGACATGACCACCGCTACGCTATGGGATCGAATCAATCAATTTTCAATTCGAATCGAATCGAATAATGATCTCTCGTTTCGTAATTCGTATAATTTGAATGTTTTCCATTGTTTTATTCCTCGACCACTACTTTCTACAATGGACTCGCTATTTTGAGTTTGACTGCCGGCTTATTGATTGGATATATGAACACCATGGATCGCTGTTTGAATAAGTCGACGAGCCTTAGATGACAAAACGATACTATCAGTAATTCGTTAATGACTTGGCTTGCGCCACAATTTGTAAGTACTCACCTCCTATTTGTTAACTAACCTGGCCTACAGGTTTCCTTACTAGGTCTTTTTTTACCGTTACTCTTACAAATGACTGATACTACACATTTAAAAGGCTCCTAAAGATTGTTTACATTTAATTAAATATCTTAAACCAGCAGTGATCAGGATTTGTTGACATTAAAGCTTTTCTCATCTTTCAGGTGAACAGCACTGACCATGTTTGCCAAGCTTGCTAGTACTTGGCGCAGAGACCACCTGTTGAAGCGCCAAGGCAATATTGATGTCCACCGTAGTGTTTGTCTCTGCTGTGAGTGTTCTCTGCATCACAAGTCAGCCATCTTCTTCACATGAACTCAAATTGTGAATTTATAATGTTATAAAATAATGGATTATGCCTCAAACTGTAAGTTGAATCAGATTACATGTTTTTATAATTACTTTTACTTTTATACTTTTACTGTAAGCCAAATAGATTTTTTAAAATACTTAAATCATTATGTTTGTTTGTTGCAGGTAGAAGTGGCACGTTGCTTGGGTGGCTACAGACCAAGCTGCTGTCCATATGGTCTGGGACTCATCAATTTCTTCACAAGGAAGCTATCCTGAAGAAATACAGTCATAGACACAAGATCTTCCCACTGAGTCTCCAAATGAAAAAGTTAGAAACTAACAACCTGAACCTTCTATTGTATTACTAGACTACATGAGAGCTATAGACACGGAAGTAGGTGCTTTATTGAAAGATACCAGACAACAGTGAGGTACAGAGTGAAATATTATATCGCTGAGAATAGTTGTCTTTGTGATTGACATTTGATTATTGAAGCATGGGATATTTTAGACAGTTTGTGGTTTAATTATGTACCAGACTTACAGCAAAGCAAGCATTTCCAGGATATGATATCCCTATTAGAAGTTCTACATCTTGGTTTACTGCATTTTGACAACATAGATTATATGGAGGACCAAGTCGTATATACAAATACATGGATTGCCTGGAATAAAGTATTGTCACTGCTCAACAAAGTTTCTCAGCTATTGGAAATATCAAGAGCATCCCTATGCTCCCCTTCATCAAATATGCTTTAGCAGTATAAGCTTAGAACTGGGGATTTGGAATATAATTGAATTTAATAAAAAAATATTTAAAAAAATGTTTTTCTGTTTAAACGTCACATCCTTACCTGTAATCTTTTGAATTTCATGACATCCTCCAACTCTACAAATATATAAGGGTTATACCCTGTATAGATGGTTATGGTTGTTATATGTGATTAATTATTAAGTTGTGGAACCAAAGTAGTTTTTGTTTATGATGTTAGTAATATAGTCCTGTGAGGTTATATTTTACAAATATTGTAAAACACTAACAACCTCGCAGGACTATATTACTAACAACTTTGGTTCCATAACTTTATAATTAATCACACTTTACATTCAAACAAAAATAAAAATTTTGAAATAGATTGCTCTAAACAGTAATAAAGTAACTCTGCAAAAAGCAGGAGCGCGGGTAGGGGTCGTCATTGAGGATGCTTGCTTGTTTGAACTTACAACCAGATATAGATTTAAACAGTGTCAGATAGTACAGCAAAAACTTAAAAGTTTATTTTTGGTAAATTATGTTTTGTAAAGTCATGGAACGATAGTTGTCTATCATGTCAGTAGGTAATATATATAGTCCTATGTTGTCGTTACTATTTATAAAATAACCCTGGATATAAAAAAAATAACAAATGCACTCCTAAAATCAACTGTTAATTTTATTATAAATTGTTACATAACCTCATTTTTACTAAATCTCTTATAATTGTGCTCTCAGATCGCCAAATTTCATAGAATTTCCAGTGATGATATAACAATACATAAGCTAATTATTATTATCACCTTCAACTTTTACATCTTGGCCCAAGATTGTATAAAAGCGTATCGATCTCCTTCTAGATTACCAAGTAAAAAAATCAAAATATTGTAATAGGTATTATATTTAATAAAGCATTGATTTCAGTTTAAATTGTTTACGGTTTATTTCGATTACACCATCCACCAACCCACACCAACCACCATAGTAAGGTAAGTTATTAAATAATTTGGGTGCTAATACAAACATCGTTCTACTAGGTATATATTCCAAATTAGATGCATTAACATTGCATTACGCATAATATTACTATTACCTACACGAGATGTCTCATATAAACAAACATCATTCCGTGATGTTACCGTTACAACGTCACTCGCATTACTTAGACTATAAACATCACTCCGTAATACCACCATCACGCGTACTGTTTCAGGTAATACATTACGCGAGTACTGTTTCCGAGCGATGCATCACGCGGGTAATGTGTAATGCTAACATCACTCCGTGATGCTAACATCACGAGTAATGCTAACATCACGCGTAATGCTAACATCACGCGTAATGCTACCATCACGCGTAATGAGAACATCACGCGTGATGTTAGCATTACATTGCATCATAGCATCACAGTATTGCATCACGCCGAGTACTGTTTCGCGTAATGGGTGTTAGTAGCGACACCTGGCAGCAGCGCTACGTAACCCTACGGCACGGTTAGCAATGTCCGATCAAGTAGTACGTCGAAAATTTGCTGGGTGGCGCTATTAATATAGATATTTACTATATTTAGTTCATTTTGGGAAACTCCCAGAGCATCCCGACATGGTCTATGTAATGGGTAATGTTATGAGTAATGCATATTTTTCCGAAGTGATGCGTGATATCACAGTACCCTGTCGCGTGATATCACCTTTGTAATATTACTCACATTACTTACACATGTCTAAGAAAGGGTGGTACGATGCAGATGTGACAAAAATTTTTAATTTGAATATTTTTAATTTCTGTGGATAGTCTATTAATCAATAGTTACCGGTGGAGGGTATAAGGGTGCTGATGAAACTACAGGCACATGGGATTTGTGAACTTATGTCACAGGGTGACGGGCGCATTGGCAGTGCGCCTCAGATCATTGCGATTTCAAGCTCTTAGTGGCACTGCAACTGTTATGGATGTTCATTCCGTCCCCTGACATTATAAAAAAAAAATTTCACGGGTGAACCTCAACTCCGAAAGCTCTCTTCGACTTCAGACTCCTAATAGAGCTTCGTCTCGTAAAGTCCTATTTCAAACCAAACAAAGTTTCTGTCTCTTTACAAGTCCCATGGTCACGGTGGTATGGTGCTTTGTTAGAAAAGACATATATACGAGAATTAGATCCGAAAAATGTACATTTCCAATGTTTAGCAATCAAGAAAACCTAGGAACTTGAACTTATTGTGATTTTTATACTTAAAATGTGGTAAATTTATAAACCTTGAAGTATTTGTAATGACTACGTTACGTTATCCAGTGCCTCTACCATAAGTTTAGAAAAAGACCAGACTAGACGCGAAAAACAGTTACAAGCTTAATATGATATTAAGCGTTAAGTGTTTTCCGCATTTCCTTGTAAAGTTGGCTTTTTGACTTGTAACCCTTTTCACTAGAGCCACAGAATTTTGCATGGCATTGTGTAGCGCCCCCTAGCGGTCACAGGAAGAAGCGTTCTGTGTACGTTATGTTACGCGTGATAGGTACAGTACCCGGCGATAAATATTGCACATCGACATTTGGAAAGAGACAATCGGCTAATTTCGGCTTCGTAGAGCGTTATCTCTGTCCCACACTACCTATTGTAGCTTAAAGGTTTTAAAGCAAATAGGGTCCGTAGTAGTCCGTAGGGGTATTATTACCTGATGCGTAGTGTTTTCATTAAAAATGTAATCAGAACATAAATTAATCATTCGCAAAACATACCGATCGCTGAATAAAACATTCAACTCGCGCTTATCGTAGATAACAAGCTAGACTACCAATGAAAACTAGATCGATGTTTATTCGCTAGAAATATCCCACTTGAATGCAAAATTTAATTTATTTAAGTGCGTTTAATAAGCAGTCGAGACATGTCGTACAAAAATGTAACAATTTTTTTCAAAAAAGTAAGTATTGAAAAACAGCGTAAGCTTGAGAATCTTTTAGTCTACGTAATAGACGTAATTACAGACGATATTATTTAAAACTTAATATTATGATGCTGTAGATAACGTGCAACAACTGTATTTTTTTTAAAAACAACAATGGACGCATAAAATATGAAATGGGTAACATTAAATTAATAAACTAGTTTTCTGTACCTAATTTCGGTGGCAATTTTTAATTATTCTAGAATATTATCAAGAAGCACTATTTAATATTCCAGTGTAGTAACCTGAAATATTATTTAATATTTCACGATAACGTACACGGATACTTAAATAATATAAATTGCCACCAAAATTAGGTAGAATAAATTAAATAAATAAAAAATCGTACAAATAAAATACTCGCTCAATAATGCAAATTCTCCATAGAAACAATTCCCAAATAAAATAGCATAATTTGTCACCATCGAATGCTTACCTTCTCAATAAACGGAGTAGATTTCACTTTAAAATCGCTAAAGTATAACACTACTTAATAACTGCGTCGACACTAGACAGCAAATTTAGCTAAGTGATCACTAGCACGTTCCGATGAGGACTGACCATCCCTCACCAGTGGCCCGACCATCACACCTTAGACACACGTGCCATTTTTACACAATTAGGGTAAGCCAAAGAGAAGGGGAAGGGTTAATTATTTACAAATTAACGTTTTTAATTATGTCCGTTGTAGATCTATAATACGTTAGTCAGATTATTATTATACTTCTAGATTTCTACAAATGGGATGTCATTCGATTTGTTGGTTTTAAAAATCCACGAAATAGATACAAAAAAAGTTTAGACTAACAGAAACGAAAGTTCGAAGCATTTTCTTATATGATTTATTACTTTGATATTATTTTGGTGGTTCAATCTCTGAAATTTCTAAGTTGTAAATAGCATCTTAAGTCTTTAACAAAAGCGTACACAATTGCAATTTAAAAAGATATAGCCCAATTCGATACAGCACCGATCTTGCATAAAAAGCTGGGTTCATTTTGCTCTAGCTATGCTATTAGTTTTAAACTATATGTACCGATGATTTTTAAGAACATTTATGTAATAAAAAATGTTTGTTAACTCTGTACAACTTGTACCACGATACGCTTAACGACGCAAATCGAGCGATAAAATGGTACGATGATCGATAGCGATATAATTATCGCCCTCGTTTGTAGTAAAGGATTACTGATATAGAATTTGCACCGTGTACATAATTACAATGTGTTTTATTTTATCAAAACAAAATTAGGAACAACCTGTTACTTAATGGAGGATTAGAGTTAATGGACGTTAGTGTAATTGCGCGTAAATTTTTCGATTTAAGGAAGTGAGCATACTATGAATACTGAATCGTATTAAGCTAGTCAGAAAAATCTTTATGTCCATTTTATACGAATTAAGTACAAATTGGTAAGTAAAGGTATATATCGTAACGATTGATGTATCGATCATCTTTAACTCGCCAAGCAATGTAGCTGCCTAGTAGTCTGCTATTAAAAAAATTCTAATAAAATTAAAAATTCTAATAATAAATAATCTGCTATTAAAAATCTATTGAAGTTGTAAGAGGTGTTTTAACGTTTTAGTACTAGTTCAACTTCTTATGAAAATGTTCGTCCAGGGAAATAACTGCCACCTTACCTATTTCTGCCGACAAGCAGTAGCGTGAGCATTACTGCGTTCCGATTATGAAAGGTTAAGAGTGCTAGTGAAATTACAGGCACATGGGACTTGTCAACGCACGTGTAGACGCACGATTTGTTTGTTCCGATACTTGGTATCATAAAAAAAAT